GACTTATTCAGGGGGTCTGTGTCCAGTCTGGGCCTGGATTTGGCTGGGCTGCTGGTAGTGGGTGATAGAGGAGGAGAAGACTCACAAGGGTCCCCGGATAGAGAGAGGTTCTGAGCCTGGGATCTAGCTGCTGAGCCTTGCTGTGCCCCTCATATGATCTGTCATACAGGCTTTGACAGGTGGTGTGGCCGTTTAAGGAGCCGTCGGCGCCATCTTGGAAGTGTGATGTGACAACAGGGAAGAAGCTAGTAAACTTCCCTGGCTGTCCAGGAGCCTTTCTGCGGCGCGGCATTGCGGTGTTATTGATCCGCCTTCTGATGTGACCCGGCAGGGTGAGTTATGTGCCTCGGGGTCCGCATGAGCCGTGCTGACAGCTAGCGGGTGGACGGAGCTTCAGGCAGAACATGTCCATCCAGGAGCCGGCCGCGCATGCGCCCCCCAAAATCCTATATAAATTCCAAATGGTCCCTATTAAGCTTCCAGAGGTATATTTTAAGATGATTAAAAATATGATAACAAGATATATTTGGAGAAATAAAAAACCTAGAGTATCTTATGAAGTGATGAGTAGAAATAAAGAAAAAGGTGGACTGGGAGTGCCAGATTTTAATAGATATTATAAAGCAGTAATTTTGGCTAGAATATTTGATTGGACACATAATTCAAAAGGGAAAAGTTGGGTCACTATAGAAAATTCACTTAGTGGTAATAAATTAAGTAGGAGTATATGGGTTCCAACACAGCATAGAGGTTTAAAAGAGAGCACGAGTGTGTATACTTTAAATGTTTTAAGAGTGTGGGATAAAATGCACAAACAGATAAAGTGGGATTTTAACTCATTTCTGATGCCATTAAGGAACTCAGGGCTTTTCCCGCCAGGTAGGGAGGAAATTTCAGGAAAATGGATAAAAAAGGAGGAAGCCCAGTTGAGAGATATAATGAAAGGAGTAGAACTGAGATCACTTAAAGATTTGGAAAAGGAAGAGGGAAAGATTTTCACTAAGATAGATGTTTGGAGGTATAATCAATTAAAATGTTTTGTTGGGAATTTGCCTAAACCCTTGAGATCTAGAAAAGATTGGAACTTGTTTGAGAGGTTGTTGGAATCACGGGGAGATGGAAAACACGGTACGGCTAAAATATATAAAATCCTCACTGAGTTAGATATAGGAAAAAAAAACTAATGTATATAGAAAAATGGGAAAGAGATTTGGGGGTGGTGATAGAGGAGGCTAAACAGGAAAAAATATTTAGATTGATTCATGAGAAAGTAAGTACACGTGAGGTGGAAATGAATTATAAATGTTTGATAAGAGGGTATATTACACCGGGTATAGAGCACAAGATGAGTGGGGAGAAATCACCTATGTGTTGGCGGGGGTGAGGAGAAATTGGCACGATGTATCACATATGGTGGAAATGTTCAAAAATACAAGTATTCTGGAGAAATGTAGTGCATCAGATTAGAATGATTACGGAAATGAATATTGGTTTGGACCCTGGAGGACGCCTTTTACACATTACAGAATTATCAGTAAATAAATATAAAGAAACGGGTGTATGGTACTTTTTAAATGCAGCCAAAAGTCTGATACCAAAGTTTTGGCGTAAAGTAGAAGCTCCAAAAGAACAGGACTGGATAGACAGAGTGGACCAGATTAGTAGAATGGAGAAATTATTTTATATACAGGAAGATAGGATGGAGAAATATTACATGAAATGGAAAAAATGGGAAGAGTTCAGATCGGATCTGAATAGATAAAGAAGGAGTTTGCTTTCTTTCAGTCCCTTTAGTAATAAGTACATTTTTCAAGTCTCTTTTTCTCTTGCCTAAGAGCGGAAGGTGAAGAGATGTGCAGGATGGGGGGGGGGGGGGGGGGGGGGGGGGAGGGCGGGAGGAGGAAGGGGGATTTTGTTAGGGGGGGATGGGAGAAATAAGGAAAATATGGGAAATGATTGTATATTTTTTATATAAAGAATTTGTACTGTGGATTTTATCTTTCCTATTATTTTGAAAATTAATAAATATTTAAATAAAAAAAAAAAATAAAAAAAAAAAAACATGTTCTTGAAACTGGGAGAGGGGATATCAGTTTTTTCTAGAAGGAAGACTTTTGCTTGGGCTGTGTCTAGAACTACGCCCAAGTATTCCAGGCATAGAGAAGATTGGAGAGCAGATTTTTGGAAGCCAATCAACCAACCGACAGCCTGATGAACCTGAATTGTCCTTTGGATGTTTGCAGATAGCTGGACAGGAGATAAATTCGTCAGAAGAAGGTTGTCTAGATACCTATGACCTGGATGCCTTGAGTTCTTAGTGGGCCAAGAAGAGGTGCAAGTACCCTTGTGAATATTCTGGAAGCATAAACAGGAATATGCAGGTAGGCATTTTCCATGCCTAGAGATGACAAAAATTCCTCTTGTTTCAGAGAGGCAATAACTGACCTTGTATATTTCATGCAAAATGTTGAAATTTGAAGGTAGTGAAGATCCAAGAGAGGACAAATGCTACTGTTGGGTTTTGGTACAGTGAACAGGTTTGAATCGAATCCTTTGAACCTATCCTCTAGAGGTACTGACACAACTACTTCCTAGGCCAAGAGAGATGGTTCAGGGCATTCTGCAAATATTACAGTCCTTGAGCAAATTTGAGAGAAGGAACCAGGTGAGGGAGCAGAGATTTTTAAGCTATTTTATAGCCCTTTGAAACCACCAACTGAACTCACAGGTCTGGAACATCAGTGACCCACAGATAAGATTTGGTGGCTTGCTGAGCTAAGTCTTGCATTGAAAGAAGGTCTGATCTTAGGCTTATAAGTTGAAGTCTGGATAGAGTGAGGTGCTCTGTGATTTGAGGAGGTAGAGGCTCCTGAAGAGGGGGATTTTTGCACTTTCCACTGGGAAAGAAGAACTTTTACTCCTGTGACATTGTTGATGAATTTGTTAAATACTTCACCAAAAATATGTCCTCCTTCAAATGGCATACTTGTGAAAAGTCTTTTACAGAGTTTCTGTTTGCTCACATTGAAATTATTATATAAAATTGAATTCTGAAAAAGTGGAGAGTTTAAAAAAAAAAAAAACAGATTTTCTTTTGACTTGTGACTGCTTGTGGATATAATCAAGGCACATCATAAAAGAACAGCTGGGTCAACACCGCGCTGAGTAACAGTCCGCAATGGGGAGTGTAGACATCCAATAGGCTTACGCGTTTCGAGGACTTGCCTCTTCCTCAGAGCCAACTGACCAAATGTCTGCTCCCTCTTTTATATGCTCACTACTAGTTGAACCAAAGGTCACATGGGCCATCCTGGACACTCCCCTATGCAGGTGGAGGAGTCACAGGGGCAATTGACATAGTATAAGTAAACACCAAAGATCTATAAAAATATATAAATATATATGTCTAAATAAAACCATTGAAACTAGTGACAATCATAAAATCATATGAACCATAAGAAGTGTGAAAATGAAAAATAAATAAGTAGAAAGTTACACATATATATATTAAAAATCCTTCCCTGGTGATGCACTGCACTGCTCGCATTGAAATAAATGGGTGGATGGATGAGCAACGCTACGAAGCTGCCTAGTGCTCTGCTTGCCATAGAGACAACCATGGGTCATGGATATAATGAAGAGAGTAGATCTGAAACCCAGCAGAGACACTTATTAATTCAAAGAAATGAAGCCTACAGGGTGTGTTCTATTATTCTAGTATAGTCATACGTGATGAAACTTAGGCATGTGTGGCAATGCAGTGCACCATGGATGGATATGCATATGCAATACTACATACGGGGAAAAAGGAGATAAATCACTAGTACAAACATAAATGTTAATATAAAACGTTACAAAAAACTTCTTAATATGGTTTACAAAGTATAAATAAAATGAAATAAGTATTGTTACCATATAGTATAATATCTGGTAAAATCGGTATAGTGTATGGTATACGTGTGTATGCATAAACATGGAAGCAAAGGAAATATAAATATATAGGAAAAAAAAAAAATATTAAAAAAATAAAAAAAACAAAATTATAAAAAAAAAAAAAATTGTAAAAAATATATATGTGTCAGGAATGGACTGGCCAGCAATGGTGGGATTCACCTGCCTTATGAGCTGCAGTACCAGGGCTGGCCAGCTGGTGCTCCCAGCACTCAACCTTGCAGCCAGTCAAACACCTGGAACTGATTATACTGGTGTATTTAAGGGATGGCCAGACCTGCAGACTCTGCCTTGGTGTGTGTTTCTCCTGGGCCCTGTATCCTGTTCCTTCTCCCTGTTCCTGTCTGATTCGTTGCTGACCCTGCTCTGATCCCTGGCTTTGTCTGACCTTTCTCCTGCTCCTGATCCCTGGCTTGTCTGACCATTCTCCTCTGCCTGACCCTCTGTACCACGCTGCCCGCTACCTGCTGAACCTGGCTTGTGACCCCGACCATTCTCCGCTTGCTCCCTCTGTACCTACCTCCCCGATTGATATTGACCCGGCCTGCCTGACGACGCTTGCATTGTATGTACTGTCATCTGTGGGTGGTTAGTTTGGTTTGTTTGCACTGTGTTATGTTTTAGTATTGCACTGCGTTTATGTTTGTATTGTTAGTGTTAATAAATTATATTGTTTATAACATATCTGAAGTCTGCGTTTCCCTGCGTCAGTCACACACCTCTGGTCATACCCTGGAGCCCTGACAATATGTGTGTTATATATAAGAATATAGATGTCAAAGGTATTATGGCAAGCACTTGCACTGGACCACATGCGTGTGCACGTGTGAGTAACTGCTTTCTTGTAAAAACAAAAAAAATGTATATACCGTATTTGCCGGCGTATAAGACGACTGGGCGTATAAGATGACCCCCTACTTTTCCTGTTAAAATATAGGGTTTGAGCTATACTCGCCGTATAAGACTACCCCTCTTCCAACACACACCAAATAAAAATGAAAAAACATCAGATTTGATTTCAATATGGTATGCTATTTCAGTATGGTATTCCAATGATGGGGTGCTATTCTTCCCACTGACACCAATGACGGGGCACGATTCCTCCCACTGACACCAATGATGGGGCACTATTCCTCCCACTGACACTAATGATGAGGCACTACTCCTCCCACTGACACCAATGATGGGGCACTATTTCATCCACTGACACCAATGATGGGGCACTATTCAGTCAGTGGGAGGAATAGTGTCCCATCATTAGTGTCAGTGGGAGGAATAGTGCTCCATCATTGGTGTCAGTGGGAGGAATAGCACCCCATCATTGGTGTCAGTGGGAGGAATAGCGCCCCATCATTGGGATCAGTGGCAGGAATTGCGCCCCATCATTGGTGTCAGTGGGAGGAATAGCAGCCCATCATTGGTATCAGTGGAAGGAATAGTGCCCCATCGTTGGTATCAGTGGCGGGAAAAGTGCCCCATCATTGGTATCAGTCGGGAGAATAGTGCACCATCATTGGTGTCAGTGGGGGGGGGGGGAATAGTGCCCCATCGTTGGTGTCAGTGGGGAGGAGGAATAGTGCCCCATCGTTGGTGTCAGTGGGGGAGGAACAGTGCCTCATCGTTGGTGTCAGTGTGGAGGAGGAATAGTGCCTCATCGTTGGTGTCAGTGGGGGGAGGAAAAGTGACTCATCGTTGGTGTGAGTGGGGGAGGAATAGTGCCCCATCATTGGTGTCATTGTGGAGGAGGAATAGTGCCCCATTGTTGGTGTCAGCGGGGAGGAATAGTGCCCCATCGTTGGTGTCAGTGGGGGAGGAACAGTGCCTCATCGTTGGTGTCAGTGGGGGAGGAACAGTGCCCCATCGTTAGTGTCAGTGGGGGAGAGGAATAGTGCCAAGAGTGTCACAGCATGGTGCTGCTGCACACTTACTGGCCGCTCCCTCACTCGTTTTTCGCGGGGCCGCTCGGCTCCGCCTCCTCGCCGGTGATTGGTCACCTGTGTGCCTTTCCAGTGCTGGCGCCCAATCACCGGTGAGGAGGCAGAGCCGAGCGGCCGAACTGAAAGAAGGAGCAGCCGCGCTTCCTTGACCGGATCGTCGTGGGGACCGGGACCGGAGCCAGGTAAGGTACAGCAGCCCCCTGCCCGCCCCTGTACTTAGTGTCCCTTCTGCCACCGCGCCGCCCCTCGAAAAAGTGCCGCCCTGACACCGGCTCGCCGTATACCGGCGTATAAGACGACCCCTGACTTTTCAGAAGATTTTCATGGGTTAAAAAGTCGTCTTATACGCCTGCAAATACGGTACATACATACATAAACATACACACATATATGGAAATTGAATGAAAAAATGGGTGACCAATGAATGACCCATAGACACAAGTGCCTGGGAATGCGGTCGAGCGCATGCGCCTAAGGGTGACACAATAAATGTGAAGTGAGCAACCTAATGTGTAAGGATGCAGGGTAATGGTAGCTATACCGATGATACTATAGTAATCATAGCTGATGAAAATGAATACATCTAAGGCATACATCTGTAGTGGATGGTGTACCCACTATAGGTCACAAGGGAAATGATGGAACTAGCACTAAAGAGGGGGGGGGGGAGAGAGAGAGAGAAAAAAAAAAAAGAAAAAAAAGGGGGGAGAGACAAAAAGGATGAGAGTAGTAGGACTGTAAGGAACTAGTACAGCTCAGCAGAAGGTACCTATGCATAACAGGGGGGTCAGTGAATGACCCCATGTATCTCAAGATCTTCATTAAGCCCAGTGGGTGAGAGGGAACCCAGAGTAAAGATCCAATAGGTCTCCCTCTTGCATAGTCTCTGTAATTTTCTTCCACCATCTGAATCTCCTGTGATGGATTCAATCCCTAATACTTTCCTGCCTGATGGGTCACCACCGTGTGCCTCCCAAAAGTGCCGTGGTACAGAATATTTGTATTTGCCTTTATTGCTCACCTTGTGATTAATGATGTTATATTTGTGTTCGCCAAACCTGACCCTCAAGGGACGCATGGTTCTGCCAACATATAGGAGGCCACAGGGGCAGGTGAGCCCATAGATCACAAAGGAAGTGCCACAGTTGATAAACGGTTTAATTTTATATGTATGGCCATTGGTACCAGCCACCTTTTTCTTTCTGTGGCACATGTATTTGCAGGTTCCACAACTGCTCACACCACATTTGAAACTGCTCCTTTGATCAAACAGGGCAGACCAAGGATTGACCGTATTACTGGCACCAGCAAGAGGCTTCTTTATTCTACTGGGTGCTATGTGACTCCTGAGATCCCTAGGTTTCCTGAACACAATTTCGGGTCTAGGGGCAAGGCTCTGACTAAGGACTAGTTCCTGCTTAAGAATTTTCCAATGCTTTTGAATGCTTCGCTGTGTCGAAGGCTTTAGTATTGAACCTGGTGCAAAACCTGACCTGGTTATTAAATCTATTGTTGGGATCTTTAGTGGCTTTCTTGGCAGCTGTGTGTGGTATATGTAGTGGACTCTCTTCATATTGGCATCCATCCATCCATTTATTTAAATGCGAGCAGTGCAGTGCATCACCAAGGAAGGATTTTTAATATATATATGTGTAACTTTCTACTTATTTATTTTTCATTTTCACACTTCTTATGGTTCATATAATTTTATGATTGTCACTAGTTTCAATGGTTTTATTTAGACATATATATTTATATATTTTTATAGATCTTTTGTGTTTACTTATACTATGTCAATTGCCCCTGTGACTCCTCCACCTGCATAGGGGAGTGTCCAGGATGGCCCATATGACCTTTGGTTCAACTAGTAGTGAGCATATAAAAGAGGGAGCAGACATTTGGTCAGTTGGCTCTGAGGAAGAGGCAAGTCCTCGAAACGCGTCAGCCTATTGGATGCCTACACTCCCCATTGCGGACTGTTACTCAGCGCGGTGTTGACCCAGCTGTCCTTTTAAGATGTGCCTTGACTTTATTCTCGTTTGTGAGTACAACACCTATTTTATTTCTTAATAAACATTTTTTATGGTAATGCACTAGGCCTGTGCGCCCTCTCTTTGTTCTTTCCTCATTCAGTATATTTGGATCCCCCGGTCCATTTGAGGGCAGCAAGGTGTGCATGTTCCAGGACATTCTTAATGTGGTTGTAGCCTGCATCTAGTCCATCCCCAAGCGCAGGAGCATTTGTGTTTGCTGGTTGCTTGTGTGGATATGTTTTATCTTCTGCTTTGGAAACGTTGCTATCAGCTTTTAAAATCACTTTTTTCTTTCTCTTTTTCTGTCACTTTTTATACAGCACTTTTTTTTTCTTTCCTTCAGTCTGCTAATTAAGGGAAGTAGCTAATTGTTCACAGTCATTACATGACTTTATTTTCAGCTCACATTGGAATGGTTGAACAAAGTGGAATTTAGACCAAGGAAAAAGTTAAAAAACAGGAGTTGAGAACAAGAGGAGCTAAGACAACAGGAGTTTTCTAACCAGTAAGTAACATCTTACATTTCTTGTAAGTAATAATATTGTAACTGGTATGAGTACTACCAAGGTTATAGGTTTTACTTAGTGTTATGTGTGCCATATGTACAGTGAAGGAAATAAGTATTTGACCCCCTGCTGATTTTGAATGTTTGCCCACTCACAAAGAAATGATCAGTCTAAAAATTGAATGGTAGGTGTATTGTAACACTGAGAGACAGAATAGCAAAAAAACAAATTCAAAAGAAATGCATGTCTAACAAATTATGCACTGTACATATGGCACACACAACATTTGCATGTTCATGAGGGAAATAAGTATTTGATCCCCTATCATTCAGCAGGATTTCTGGCTACCAGGTGTCTTTCATACAGGTAACAAGCTGAGATTAGAAGCATTCTCTTAAAGAGAGTGCTGCTAATCTCATTTTGTTACCTGTATGAAAGACACCTGCCCACAGGAGTAATCAAACAATCAGATTCCAAACTCTCCACCATGGCGAGGACCAAAGAGCTGTCCAAGGATGTCAGGGACAAGACTGTGGACCTACACAAGGATGGACTGGGCTACCAAACTATCGCCAAGCAGCTTGGTGAGAAGGTGACAACAGTTGGTGCAATAACACTGTTCAACAAATTTTAATTTTTTGCCAGTTTTGGAAACAAAAGGATCCATTTCCTAATGAATTTCACATTCTGAGTTCAAATATAACAATGAAATTTGTCAATTGGCTCTAGTTTTTCTGTAAACGGAAAGTTTTCTACTATAGGCGTAATGACTACATAATGCACAATAATTATATAGATAGATGTCTTTCCACAAATATAAAGCAAGTGATATTGACTACATAACAAAGCCTAAATGGCATAATATATTGCATAGGATTACCAAGAAAAATTATAGCCATAAGCTAAGTTGAATCATTTTAATACTTAGGATTCTCACTAGTTTTGTCTTCAGTTTGTGTCGGTTTTGCTTCTCTTGGCTTTTCTCTTGTATTCGAGGAAAGGGCTATCTCTTACAACTGTCCAGCAATAGTCAGCAAGCATTGATGGGCTCTATTTACCTTGATATCTTCTTTCCATAGCTGCAATGTCTTGATGGAAGCGCTCTCCGTGTTCATCACTCACTGCTCCACAGTTTGGTGGGAAAAAATCCAGATGCGAATGTAGAAAATGAATTTTTAGAGACATGTTGCAACCCAGATTTCTGTAAGTCTGGATGAGTTTTTCTACCACTTTCTTGTAGTCTGGTGTTTTATTGTTTCCAAGAAAATTTGATGTCACTGATACAAATGCTGTCCAGGCAGCCTTTTCCTTTCCACGCAACAGAGAAAGAAACTCATCATCATGAATAAGTTTACGAATCTGTGGCCCAACAAAGACTCCTTCATCTATTTTTGCAGCACTAAGTGCTGGAAATTTGCTAATCAGGTACTTGAAACCTGCTTTATTCTTGTCCATTGCCTTAACAAAGTTTTTCATTAATCCCAACTTGATGTGTAATGGAGGTAATAAGATCTTATTGCTGTCTACAAGTGCTGGATAGTTAACATTTTTTTCTCCAGGCTGCAATGACTGGCGTAATGGCCAGTCTCTTTTGGCATAGTGCATTTCTCTCGCACGACTGTCCCACTCACAGAGGAAGCAGCAGTACTTAGTATATCCACCTTGAAGTCCAAGTAGGATAGCAATCACCTTCAGGTCACCACAAATCGACCATTGATGTTCATCATAGTTGATGCACCTTAAAAGCTCTTTCAAGTTTTCATACGTTTCTTTCATTGAAACTGCGTAAGCAACTGGAACTGACGGCAGCTGATTGCCATTATGGAGCAAAACAGCTTTAAGACTCGCCTTTGAAGCATCAATGAACAGCCTCCACTCATCGGGATCATAGCATACGCTGATGGCTGAGATTAAACCATGAACATTGTTACATACAGCAATATCACCTTCCTGGACGAAGAATGGGATCAGATCTTTCTGACGATGACGGTAGAAAGACGTACGAACATCACTTGCTAGGAGATTCCACTGTTGTAGTCTTGACCCCAAAAGCTCTGCCTTGTTCTTCGGAAGATCCAGGTCTCTGATAAGATCGCTCAATTCCACTTGTGTAATGAGGTGTGGTTCAGTGGGTGTGGATGGAAGAAAGTCTGGGTCATGTGAGGTTGACAGTTGATGACTACACGCTTCAGGTTCTTCCTCACTTGACTCAACCACGAAGGATTCTGGTGCTTTAGGAATTGGTAGCCCCTCTCCATGAGGAACTGGACGTATTGCCGATGGAAT